CATGCTCAGGTTTGTTATCACATGCACCGTAGGTAGGTACGGTAGTACGGGGTTTCTGACGCGGAAGACATGACTCTGGCTTTTCAAAGTCTTCAACGCCCCCCCTTTTTTACCCGGACGGAAAGGGGTTTGTTCGTTTGTTCGGATTGATAGAATAAATGATATCGAGAGTGAATCAACACAAATTATTTCTTCACAAGTGGATCCCCTTCACGATCGGAGCGGAGAATGCCAAATTTCGCAGAGTTGGCCGAATGTGGAAGCGCCGGATACGAGTCCATCCATCCATCCATCCATCCATCGCACTGGCACTCCCGGTTGGGTGGGGCGGGGCGGGGATGGTTTATCTACTCGAGTACCGGTACTGTACTGTACTCGAGTATCTATCTATCTATCTATCTATCGTGCATATGCATGCACAATACCGGTACGTGTGTACTCGAGTAGAATGGTACTTTACTCGTACCATCCATCAGGTCACAGTAATAAATTACCTAGCCTCGCGGGTACAGTACTTGTACAGTACCGAGCTATGAGCGTCTCCAACACTGCGGAAGGGATCAATCCCGGCGGAAGCATGTCGACAGGGTGAACCTGAGGAAAAAAAAAACAAGCGCAAGGAAGAAGAAGGAGAAGGAGAAGGAGAATATCTCCAAATGGTATACGATACACCGCACCGATATGATACAATTTGTCACCGTGCATTTCTATTCCTTTTTTATTTGGAAAAAAAAAAAAAAAAAAAGGTCAAAACATGCATGGGAATCTTACTCGAGCGCCGTACTGTACTTGTACTGTACTCGTAGATGAATCCGTTTCATTTATGAATCCCGAGTAAAAAGAAACCCCTATGAGACCACGATCCCCGGCATAGGCATCAGTTCCCTCCCCAGCCCTGGTCCTGGTCATGTCCGTCGTGGCACCCCGCAAAAACATTCTGAGTGGGAAGGATTCTCCAGGGAATAACCACCCAAAATGTTTTTTTTCTTTCTTCTTCCGATCCCAACGATTAGCTTGCACAGTTCCACTTATGGTAAGTGCGGCTGCGCGAGCGCTCCATAAATAGCTGTGGTAGCGTTATCGTGCAAGGCGTCATGGTATTGTAGTCTACTTGTACCCGTACTTGTTGTTGTACCGGTAAGGTACCCTAGGCAATGGTAAGGCCACTCGGGAAGCATTCACCACCGTGCTGTGCCGGTAGTTAGGCTTTACGACAAGCCTTCCTCTCTCCCCATCTATCTGCGGGGAAGGAGCGAATGAATGAGTCCCCTTCTCGAATCGAAGATTGCACGAGTGGTAGTCTACTCGAGTACGGCACGAGCTGCCAGAAGTCCATTCCGAGGAATCATTCGGTGTAACTTGACCGGTGGGTCACCACGATACTGTACTTGTACTAGTACAAGAGTACCTCCCCCTCTTGGCCAAGGCAGATCTGCGTCCTGAAGGAAGTGGGCAGCGCGGGGGGGGGGCGAAGTATTGTACCAGTACGAGTACAGTTAGGTTCAGACCCGCCAATAGCCATAACAATCCATACTACCGTACCTGACTCGCAGATTAACAACGTATCGCTTGTTGATGTCGATTCACTTTAGCTTCGCGGGGAAGACGATGGCTTTTCTTCGGATTGCGGTGGGTTCCAATGGAGCAAATGGTTGGGCGGAATTTTCGCCGCATTGAGTGTAGTGGTGACCCGACACCACTTGATGCGATTGGATTGGGACTGTTTTTAATTTGGCAGCTCTCGGACAGATCGCCCTGCTAGTACAGTACGAGGGTGTAAGGGTAAGTGATCAGAACGGATATGATTGGTGGATCTTGTGGAAGTCAAAAATCAAGTTTCAGTAACCCAAACCCAATCTTGGAAGTGTGGTCATCCAATATAAACAGGTCTGTAGTCAATACTATGCAATCACCAAAACACGATTCAGAATATCCTTTGCATCTTGCAATGCATTTAAAGGGAACGCCAAACAAGCACTTTCCTGATGATTCAAAATGTCGAGAAACAACACGAGATGAGCGACTTTGTATTATTACCCTTCATGACAAAGTGAAAATGAAGTGGAAAGATATTGCAACCCTTGTTAATATAAAGTTAAGTACTTGTCATGATATTTATACTTGTTCGAAAGCCGAGAACACACCAACAAACAAACATTGTCCCAGCTGACCGCCTATTTTTGATAAAGTAGAAAAAGAACGACTACAATGCTTCTTCATGACCTATAAGCAAACACATTGCATACCATGGGAGGGTATTTTGGAAGCACTTGAATATAGCTGCTCTATTCACACACTTCATAATGTGTATGTATCAATGGAATACCATAACCGGTGTCCACGAAAAAAGTATATTTTTTTAATCTTACTTCAAATCATTTTATTTCAGTATTTGTTTTTATTATTATTTAAATTTATAGAAATTAGAGTTAATTATATAAATTAATTATAATATTAGATTCGGCATTCGTGAAAAGAATAAACCTCTTCGGGTCCAATGGTGTCAGGAAAAACACCATTGAATATATGACAATTGGCTACAGACAGTATGGATGAATGAGTCTACCTTTACAACTGCAGGCTTTGGACATCAGCCCTGGGCTTTACCTAGGCCGGAGCAAAAGAGTTTCATGCTGATTGCATCAATGAAACCTGGAAGTCAGGAAAGGAAGGTATAATGGTTTGGGGTGGATTTTGTGGTGAAATGAAGACCAGCTTACATACAATTCCTCCAAAAACCAAGGTCGACTCTAAGTATTATGTTACCCACATCCTTGATCCTATTCTTATCCTATTTTGGCATCAAACTTGTAAACAATATGGCTGGACACAGGTAATATTACATGAACAAACATTTAAATAAGATTTTATTAATTACTAATAGTAACAAAATAGGTTGTCAAAGATGGTACCCTAGGATATCAGAAGTTTTCAAAGAATTGCCATGAAATCAACAATGTCAATGTCATGAATGTGGCTTGGCATAAAAGAGGTTTTCACGTGACACATGGTTATGAGTCACAGGTATGTTATTGTTTCATACATATGACTTATTCGGGTCATATGATTTGTTATGTGTGGGATTTGTGATGCTTTCGCACATGGCTCAAATATGAGTCATGGGACGTGCGTCTGGCGAGTATGCCTTGCAAGGATGCCTTGCGGGTAAGCCTTGCGCATATGATTTATGTTTTGCACATGACCTCATTATGAGGTCATGGGTTTCATGCACATGACTCAGTCGAGTCATATGACTTGTTTATTGCGTTATGATTGGTTTATGAGTTTTTGTACATGATCTCGCTATGAGGTCATAGGTTTTGAGCATGTGATCACTTCGGTCATATGACTAGTTTGTTATGATTTGGTTTCGCACATGTGATCACTTTAGGTCACATGACTACAGGCAGAAAGAATACTGTAACCGGTATGGGTACTGAGTTATTGGTTTTGTTTTATGTTTAGTTTTAAGTATCGCTTTGATACTTGGTTTGTTTTAAGTATCGTTTGATACTTGGTTTTGTTTTATGTTTTGTTTTAAGTATCGCTTTGATACTTGGTTTGTTTTAAGTATCGTTTGATACTTGGTTTTGTTTTATGTTTTGTTTCAAGTGTCGCTTTAACACTTAAAGAGTTTTACCAAAGTGTATCGAGTGATACCTTTGATTAGTTTCGTTCATGTTAAGACATGAACAGATTTGTATATTTAAAGACCGCCTGTCTCTACGATAGAAAGAGCAGACTTCGACAGACAGTATTTCAATATACTTGGTTGAATGGTTACTTCTTTGTTCCTCAGTACACCCTCGAAGCCTCCTTTAGTTCTCAGCTCTCGCCTCCTCTCTGGAAGAGCAGGCCACCTGCCAACTATTGTATCTATTATCGATAACGTGATTAGCACCTTGCGAACACGTTACAAAGACTATATAAGGAGGCCGATGCGGTCGAGGAAGATAGGTTCTTCACGCTTTGTTCTAAGTACTTTTCCTATTTATTACGTTAATGAATATAAAACAACTTTACGATCTTTATCTTTACTGCAACATTATTGTTACGTCAAGGAGGGCTCTTCACGAAGAAGAGTTAGAGAAAACTTACGATAGGTGTTTCCAATAGAAGACAAAGGTCTTGTACTATTGGTAACGTAGGCAGAGGCCTAGCGCTATCGTAAGACAAAGGAAGGAGAAGAAAGAGAAGAGAAGTATCGTTCCCCATTGCCAAGAACTAACCATCCAAGGAGGGATCGTTACAGTCAAGCAACTTGCGTGGCCTCTACAATCCCCGGACTTAAATCTCATCAAGGCGCAATTGAGTGATTTGGAGACTGAGTTAGGAGAGACCTTTGGGAGAATCAAAGACGTAAAGGTTTTAATTGTAGCAGTGAAGGCTGTTTGGGATTCTATTGGGGTTGACCGGTTGGATGGCTTAATTTGTAGTATGCTACAATGCCTTGAAGCTGTGATTGCAGCAGGTGGTATGGCTACATCATACTAGAATGGGAAGATCTTCTGCTTTCCCATCACTTTTTTCCTCACATTATATTTGAAACCCGATTGGCTGCTCTCTGGACATCTGTGGCAACGGTTGGTCAAATTTGCGGTTTTCCGATCACTTTTCTCCACCCCCCTCGTACAGTACCTAGCATCATCACACAGCAAGTGTATATTTTCTATAAATATTTCTACGCTTCTCTCTAGACGACGACGAAATAAACACACTTTTTTTTTTGCGGAAGTTCTCGGGGTTTTTTGGGCTGTGATCGTTGGTTTTGGGTCAAGGGAGTTTTTTGAAGTTGGCTGTATTTGGGGTTCACTGGGGGGGGGGAAGTTGATTTGCATTTTTTTGCAATGCGCGGGGGAAGAAGGAGGAGGAGTACCGGTAGAGCAATCTATCTGTCTGTTCGAAAATGCTGATAGAATGCTGGTGGTATTCGCACGTCCACTCAAAAGCCTTGGAGTTGGAGCGGTAATTTAACGCCCCATTCCATAATATTATTAAAGTTTGATGTGTTCGCCATAGCTCTCGATCACTCGATCAATCCGATTCAATCGATCAATGAATGATGAAAACCGGCAAATTCTGCTTCAGCGATACCGGTACGAAGTACAATACAAATACAATAGCAGCGGCTCACATCATGAGCACATGCTAATTCCGCTTCATATCAACCGAATCATGTTTTCCTCCTCCCTCCCTCATCGCTCATATCGGTACTCGAGCACTGCTTGTCTTATCCTGGCCTGTCCCGTCCCGTCCCGTCCTATCCTACCGTGCTCGAGTATGGTAGAGTTGCCGTCCTCGGCAAGTCCATCGTACTCGAGTCGGCTGTGCACACAAACCATAACGATTGGTTCATTCACCGATTTATTGGCATCGTTGCGATTGTTTGATAGCTGATAGCTGATAGCTTATTGCTACCATAACTTCAAGATAAAAAAGAAGGAAGGAAAGGAAAGGAAAAGTTGCCGGGGAGCCAAGACTACCGGTAACTGACTTATCTACAGTTTCCTACCGTATCATACTTCCCTTCCCCCGTCGGAGATGAACGAACGAACGTCGGGCCTCCCGAATTCCATCCGACAAAGTTTTTAGTTTCACTGTCGGTTGGTCTTCTCGCACCTGTACCGGTATTTATGATGCCAACACCGTGCAAATACCGCAAAGCACTGAGTATATATACGTCCATGTACAAAAGTGACTTTAGAGACCGCTGCCAAGGGCGAGGGGGGGGGGCAGGATTCCAAAATTGGCATTGGGCTATGCTACCGTATGCTATGCAAGGGATATGATAGATTAAAAAAAAAAAAAAACATCAAAGTGAACAACCTGAAGAGATCAAACTGACGGCTCTTGCTGATTGGCTAGCGAAATTTTCAGGTGATCCAAACCGGCTCAGAAAGTGGTGTGTATTCTCGTGGGTCACACACCCTTGGCAACGGCCACTATATGCTCTAGCGGCCATCGTACCCGGGTCGGTGGAAAAGTGATCATACGGTAGGAAGAAAGGCAGAACCCTCCAAGTCTTGTCGTTTTTCCGTGGGGAATTTTCAACCTTTTTCTCCGTTCGATTTTCCATTGATAAGTTATGGCGGCGGAGGAGAGAGGAGGATAGGAAGAGGAAATGAAGGGTGTGTGTGTGTGTGGGTTTGAGTTGGCTGGTTTCGTCAACCTTTGATTGATGACCTCTTGAGAAGGCTGTCTTATACCATATTATTATAAAGGTATAGTGTTATTATACTTGTACGAGTAAGGTTCATCATTTTTTTTTTTTTTTTTTTGTCATTCACTCCATCGCCTCGGGGTGATTTTTTCCTTTCTTTCTTTCAAATCCATTTTGTGGTGCGCTTGCCCTGCCCGCTTGCGGCACTGGACTATCTATCGTACCCGTTATTATACAAGTGGCTCTTTATCGTGGTCCACTTTGTATGGTACTTATCATGGCGATTCACCCCACCATGTCTATCGAAATTCACAATTGCATGATAGATAACCACTCATTTCAAAACCGCAGCCAAATCGGGGCAAAAAGAAAAGGAAAAAGAAAAAGCCCAGCGGACTCGGTACTCCCCGGTACTCGTACGAGTACTCGTATAATAGTGCCCGCCATACCGGCATCTTCTTTCTCTCTCTCCCTCCCTACCCTATCGTATTTCTACGAGTATGATACCATCGAAAAGTTTGTATTCTCCACTCGCAACTCTAACTGAAACAGCGAAATCACCATCAGGAAGAAGGAAAGAAGGAAAGAAGGAAAGAAGAAAAAAAAAAGAAGCAAACTCCCCTTCCCATATCGTTGGGAACGTTATCCAAATTTAAAGCAGAAATTCAGTACCGGTACTGTACTCGTACCGGTATTCACACCAACTTTCTTCGCCGCCCATCAACCAGGTGATACAAGTACAAGGAAAAAAGTCAGCTTGTTTGTCAGGTACGAATTCCATCTGACCAATAGCGTTGGAAGCCCTTATCGCATGGAAAATCGCATGGATGGGATGGGGGCGGGTCAGTCGGACCCGGGTTAGGATAGGTAATATAATTATGATAATTATGGGGCGGTATCATACATAAACTGTACGACGGCCATCGGGTGGCAGACATGGATAAATATTCACTTTTGACGGCGGGTGCCATTTTTGACGAGTAGAGTAAATAACCGATAGTCAACTCTATAAGCCAGGCTTGGAGTACCGTAAGTGAAGTGGTTGGCTGGTTGTTGGATTTTGTTTTTTCCTCCCTGACGCTGCATCGTAATTATTATAATAATTTGTCAGCATTCCAGTGTCGTACGGTAGTGTGCAATGGCGGTGTTATGTTAGCAACGGCATCTTCGGCAGCGGTAGATTACTCCACTCGAGTTACTTGGACCATCGCGCAGGGACCAAGATGCGCTCACTTCCGGGACTATTGTTTTTTTTCTTTCTTCCAATTTCCTTGTACCGGTACTGCACAAGCACCGGTACGAGTGGTGGCTTGGAAGTGCGAGTGCCGATTACCGGTACCGGTACGGTAAGATGGACTACTCGAGTACGGTACTATACGTCCCTTATGAGTTTCTCCTGTGCTTAATTGGGGGGACCTGGAATGGAGGGGGGCCTCTGTGATAAAATGCTCCCGTGTCGGAATCAGAGCTTCGCAGTGCTCCATAATGTTCTTGGGAATCAAGTCCAAGTTATCATCGGGATACCGTGCAATAATTTACTGCTCATGCTCTCGATGGGTCAAGCTCTCAAGACACTCCGAGGCCTTTGCCCTCCCCCCCTCCTTGCTTGGATTTCGCGTGATGCAAGGGGTAACTATGCTATTTATCCCCAATACCCGTAATTTCCTTGATTGCACTTTTGATATCCACCGCGCCTGTGAAAGGATGGTTGAGCGGGAAAAATGCTTGTCTGCTGGATCTAGTTGACAAACAGATAAAAGCCAAGAAATGTACTGTACTAGTACTCGAGTATCGTACCTACTTTCTCTGCTATCATTGCCATACCGGGTATGGTGGAGAAACAATTTTATGAGAGCTATCCAAAAGGAATCTGAAAGAAAGTATTAAGAGTGGGAAAATATTGGCACCAGGGCTTGGGCATCTATTTTCTATAGCTTCTTAGCATCAATTATTGAATGTGCTAGTGGTGTTGTTGTATGATAGTGTCCCTCCCATTGTTTGAAAGTGGTTTCATCATGTGATTTTGCTCATTTTGAGCCCACCGTTGCTTGACCATTGGGCCCTGGTGTCAACCAGACACGCCACTCAGAAGCAAAATAGGTTTTTGCTGCAAACGTACTGCAGTCTTCATTGTATCATAACCCACGACGAAACTGGGCGGTTGACGAAAAGGGCAATATTTGGTCAGCAGAATGAAATCGTCAAGGTAGGGTAACAAAGGGTTGCCGTATATTGTACTGTACTCGAGTACTTGCTATCATATGATACTTGTATTGATCCTTGCTCGTCGCGCGCCCCAGTTCAGTTTCGTCGTGGGTGGGGGAGAAGACTGTGATCAGGCTCGAGACGAACGTTTGGTGTGGCAACCAGGAGCGCCCTAAAACAGTGACAGAAGCCACCACACCTTTCCTAGCGTACTTGCGCGATGCATAATATTATGATAGGTGAGTAGTCTGATAGACCCTGAACAGACCCTGAAGTTTAAAAACTTCAGGGCATAGCTTCACTCACAGCTGGGCGGGATGAGGAGTGGAAAGTCAGACAATGCGTGTGTTTTGGGAATCCGGGGGAATTGGTGAATCGGGTGCATGAATAAGTCTTCCTCCGTTGAGCAGGGCGGACAAGGCACCTTTACCTCTCTATGTTGGAAGAATTGTCTGGGGTAAACGTGATCTGGGGCTTCAAGCTATTATACCACCGTGGAAGGCGGAAGTTGGAAATAATAAGGTTTGGTGGTTCCGTGGATGCCCCATCTGGTGTGCGATTATGATAGTGTCATGCTCAAGCAGTATCGGACAGCGGTCTGAGTTAGTTGTGATACTAACTTTTCTCAAAAACCTCGTACTCGCACAGGTAAATTGTCCACTTGATCACCCGCAAATGTCGTGTCTCTGCGCAATCTCCCATTAAAGCATAAACATGTTGTACTAGTACACATCATCGTCAGCCTTTCTGCAAGCTGCCTATTCATTTCTGTTCCGTCTCTGGGGATCTACTTGTACCTTAATAAAGTTCAGGAGGTGGTGGTAATGTCCGTCGCTTGATCTCTCTCCGCATGGGGGATGCCGAAGGAACGCCTGGGTACTCGAATACTGATGCTGCTGCTGCTACTGCTGCGGGAGGGTTTGGACAGAGTGTGCTCGTTATAGGGAGGTACGGTAGGGATCATACCGGTCTAATTGAGATCTATTATTTCTTTACTTGTTTTTCTGTTCACTCCCCTTAGAGTTGCGGCTTGCGGTACTGTACTCGTTGACATGAGGGGCATTTCAATTTTGGTACCAGAACTGAGGGGTTGAACACTGCAGTTTGTGGTTGGATAAATATTGTAGGCTTGAACCCTAGCTTTGCAGCAGTACTCGTAAAGGATGTTCACACCCGTCAATCACATGAACTGGGTGAGGTGTGAGTTGCCTGAACTGCTTTTGATGTCAAGCATTTTGCCTCGTCTCGTCGTTGTCCCGATTGATTGATTGATTGCGAACGCAACAATTGCATGGGGAATACCGGTACTTTGTCGATGCCATTCTCCGTCTTGGTTATGACCAGGAAGGAACATCGGAATGGCACCGATACAATTGAGTTTGGGGGAGGATTGCTGCTGACCTGAATGAAAGTGCCTGAGGAATATGACAAAAAAAATTAGAAATAAGCAAGGTCATGACCTAGAAAGGGAAGTCAGGGGTGCAAAGGAAGGAAGGAAGGAAGGGAGCCAAGCACACCCCAGCCTTGGGGCGGAAGCAGAGCAAGGAAGGCAGCTGCAAGTGTGATGGTTATGTGGTACAGTACGTTTCCCCCAGCCTGCTTCTTGGCCGGGGTCCGGGGGGGGTATTTTTCTTCTTCTGCTTTGTGCTCCCCTTGCTACTGGGGTCTACGAGAGGGAAGAAAAAGAAAAATTAAATACTCTAGCTGTGACCCCCCAATATTCTAGACCACCCCTCCCCAATCGCCCGGGAAGCGTGGGCATCTGGCCTTGTCCCCCCACCACTCGTACCGCAAGTCTGCTCTTTCCGTTCTGTACCCTAGATGATCCGTCAAGGTGATATAACTGTCGCTGCCCCGGTCTGCCATTCTCATTTGGCCCTTTTTTTCTCTTTCCCTCTTGTTCTTGATTTCTCACCCACACAACGAGATATCCTTTTTTCCGTATATGTGAAGGGCTCACTTGTTTATGAACTGTCCTTTTTTTTGTGTCATTTTATTTTCTCCCCCAGAGCCCCTTCTCTGCTTGTGTCTGTCGTTCCCTGCTACAAGCGCCCTACCCAACTAACGTGGGGCCGGCCCTGATTATTCGACACTCCCAGAGAGCGTGAGTTGCAAGAAGAAAGTACTCGTAAAGGAAGGAGAAGAGAAGGGAAAAAAAGAAAAGAAGGGATTCGAAAAAGGAAAAAAGAAACTTAATACAATAACTAATTCGTCATTCTATCATACCGTGCACGTTTTATTCGAACCCTTTTCTCCTCTTTTCATTCTTCTGCTGCTTGGGGGTTTTATTATCCGACAAACCTACGGTACCGCACCTGCCAACCTGCAACCATCCAACCAACCCCCCCCTTCATCCATCCTCATACCTCCAGTTGCGCATCTCCCGTTTCACCAGCAAACCTTCCACATTTCACTCCGACACTTTGCTACTTTCGACAACACAATCCTTCAACTTGGATCGGGAATACAGTAGAAGTTGACCGCAATGGATGACATAGATCCCAATCATCTCAATTACGCCGTACTCGTCCCCTTTAATGGAACCAGCCCATTCGGGGGCAATTCGGTCACCGAGAACCTGAACATTTGGTACGAGGTAGGTTCAGACCCGCTCATTCACATGTACCTTTTTATTATTTCCATTTTTACGGCTACTCGCCTTGTAATTCGGTAGTTACGTGCTTCTAACCAGTATTTGGATGGTTGTTAGAGCGGTAATTATGCCTGGGTAATGATATCCACCGCCCTAGTGCTCTTGATGATCCCCGGTGTCGGTTTCTTCTATTCTGGTCTCGCGCGAAGAAAATCAGCTCTTTCTCTAATCTGGTTGTCGATGATGGCAACCGCTGTAGTTAGTTTTCAGGTTGGTGCTAGTGTCATGCTTGGGCTTTTGTTTGTTTCCCTATGGAAAACAACCTGACTTGGGGCCCTTTTTTAGTGGTTTTTTTGGGGATATTCTTTGGCATTCTCGCACACTGGTGGCAAATTTATTGGCAACCTTGACAATTTTGGATTTAAGGGTCTTCTTGGCTATCCTTCCGTTGCGAGCAGTAAAGTTCCGGATCTGTTGTTTGCTGTCTATCAGGGAATGTTCTCTTCTATTACGTATGTGCTTCTTCGCTCCTAAACTATCCTTTCCCCCATATTTATCGTGGGACTTCATTGTTTGCTAATTTAGGAATCGCTTTAGGGTTGCCCTGGCTATTGGTGCTGCCGCAGAGAGAGGTCGTATGTTGCCCTGTGTGGTTTTTATGTTTGTCTGGGCTACTTTGATTTACGACCCCATTGCATGCTGGACATGGAATCCCTCGGGATGGTCATTGAAAATGGGTGGATTGGATTTTGCTGGTGGAACACCGGTTCATATATCATCCGGGTCCGCTGCCTTGGCCTACTCTTTGATGCTAGGGAAGCGACGAGGCCATGGAACCCACGAGTTAAACTACCGCCCACACAATGTCACTCATATCGTACTCGGGACAGTTTTCCTGTGGGTTGGATGGTTTGGATTCAACGGAGGATCTGCTCTTGGTGCTAACTTGAGAGCTGTTATGGCTTGCGTTGTCACCAACCTTGCTGCGTCTGTTGGAGGGATTACTTGGTGTCTTCTCGATTACCGTTTGGAACAGAAGTGGTCTACTGTTGGATTCTGTTCGGGAGTCATTGCAGGACTAGTTGCCATAACTCCCGGCTCAGGATTTGTGAGGGCTTCGGTTTTTTTTTACTGCGGAAAAAGTGCTGTTGTACTAATTTTTCACAGGTCCCCCCATGGGCTGCTGTCATTTACGGTGTTGTCGGTGGTGCCGCATGCAATTATGCTACTAAGCTCAAATTTGTTATTGGTGTAGATGATGCATTGGATATCTTTGCTGAGCACGGTGTTGGGGGTATTGTCGGAAATATCCTGACAGCCTTCTTTGCGGCGTATGTTTTGAAACATATTTCAAAAAATTTGTTGGGCGCTAATATATCTCATGTAGTGATTACATTGCGAATCTTGACGGTTCATATCTTGGCGATCCCTCCAAGATTCCCAGGGGTTGGGTGAACGGAAATTACAAGCAACTTGGATATCAGGTTGCGGACTCTGTTGCGGGGTTCGCATATTCCTTCGGAGGCACTTGCATCATCCTCTTCGTCATGAATCTTATTCCCGGGCTGAGCCTTCGTGCTACCGAGGAGGCCGAGATTCTTGGTATCGATGATGCTGAGCTTGGAGAGTTTGCAGTGTGTATCCCGTTTGCATCTCGAATAATGCCAAAAACTAATGGATCTATAGTATGACTACGTTGAGCTTACCCGCGAAGTTATCTCTGAGGACGAAACTGGACCTAAGTTGTCATCGGATAATGGTGCGAGTGCACAACGACCTGATATAGCTGAGAAAGCTACTTGAGGTCTTTGTCGCTTTCGCTTTTCAATAACAATCTGCTTGAATTCAACACCTTTTGTGTCTTTCTTCCTTTCTTTAGGATTCCTACTTTCTCCTCATCGCTTTTAGCGTACTGTGATTTCTGTGCACCAACTATTCGTACATGTCAAGGAAGGTGGTTGGGAGCGTGGGAAAAAGTGAGATTTAATTAGTCGCAGTGATCGGCTCTCTGGTGCAAATGCAACATTTTCCTTTTTGTAATCTCTATTCCTTAATCGCTTGGTTCACGGGGCGTCTTGTTCCTTACGGTGGGGGTGTGATTTGGATGGGTGATAGGCTTCAATACACTCTTATGTTCTTCTCTCGGTTTCTCGCTCTGGGTGCGGTTATTATGTCTGCTCTTACTCTTTTTTTTTTTTTTTTGGATTTTTTGCAACTTTTATTTGGTTGAACATTGGGGCCTTCCCCCCCTCAAAAAAAAAAGGGCACCTGTTTGGATAGAAGAGGAAGTAAGGTGTTGAGAATTGTTGTTCACTTTTGCTACTACTTGTGGTCCTTTCCTTTTATGTTGATATTTACTTTTTTGATTCTTTTTTTTCAATTCTCTTTCTTCTCCACCCCGCTTAGCTTTTGCTTCTTAGCTGCGATACCCACGGGGCGGTGATGCTTTTGTCCATCTGTTGGTTCTTATGAAACTTTGCACGAGCGAGGCAGAGATCAGATGGAGATGAGATCTTAAGGGCTCTGTTGTATGCACTTGCCGGTTTTAAAAGCTACCCAGAAATCTTGGCACTATTTAGTCCTGGGAAACGCCAAGGTGCGGGTAGATATATATATATATATATTTCTCGCTCTTTCTTTCCAACACTGTTCAGTTCAATTGAATCGAATTGAGCTAGGTTGAGTTCAGTACGCCTTGGAGACAGACAAATGGACAGGTGTTCGGCAATAAGAGGATCAATCAATCTGCGGGTGAGATGAAGTGAAGTTGAACTGGATCCGGGGCGGAGTTGTCTTGTGCGTAGAAATGCAAGTGCAGGTATCATAAATATCATAATGGGTATGGTATGATAACTGCACGGTAGGAGGCATTGCAAGATATCATACTTTAGAATAATGGTTTTTTTTTTTTTTTTTTGTGTTGAGAGGGTTAAGTCAGTCCTAGTTACAGCTTTTTTCTTCCCCTCTTTGCCATAATGCCTGTGACCTATTATTATTTGCTTGATATCATAGCCTTTGTTCCGAATTATTGATGGCCATGCTGCAATACAAGAAATAATTATTGTGAACAAAAGATATCATACCTCTAATTTTATATGGGTCTCCCATTCAAAAGGTATTGTATTATACATTGCAACAGCATCCAATCTGGCCATGCAGCTCTCAGCTCTCAGCTCTCAAGGTGGAGTGGAAAAATTGACATATTATGATATGATAATTTTTATGCAGAGATTCTGGGTAATTCTCTACACAATGGAATTAGTTTCCATTGCTTTTGGGTGGATTGAATTTGTTTAAAATCAGCCATTTTTGGTGTGAAACGGGGGTGTCGGCGAATTTTGAGGATAGCCTCGTACTGTACAGTACTGTACACTTTGGTAATGTAGCGGTTCTACCGGTATCATGCTGTATGTTACTCGAGCGCTGTGTTGTGTTGTATTGTGCAATTGTGGGTTCACTTTATGACACAATGGAGGCTGGCAAGGCTCACCAGGCCTTGGTGAAAGCAGATGGTGCGCGGTGATCCTACTGTAGAGTAAGTTAGTGTGCTCGTACAAGTATGATACTGCACTCATATCATAGTCTAAATTTACTGGTTTCCCGAAGCCTACGGCACGGTTATGATACCCACCTCACCACTGCCAAGCCAAGGTAAAAACGCCCAGCCGTCCATCTGGGCGCCCCGGATTGAGTTATCATACTATCGCAACTAGCTGGCCTACGCTACTGAATCGTACACAACCAAACAACTTTCTCCCCATAAGGGAGCGGAGCCTTCTCTACAGCCAACGATTGATTAATCACACAGTTAAATTCCCTACACTACTACCACCGCCCGCCATACTCATACTACCGTTCACAGCCTCATTTTGTAGGGGGAAAAAACAAACAACGAAAAAAAAAACATGGAACCCCCCCTTCCCATGGAAGTAGGTGGCGGTGGAGGGTCCTCTTTCCCGACGACTCGCGAGGAGTTCGAGGCCGATCCGCGGGTTTCCTGGTCGAGGCTTACGGGGAAGTGGTCGCTGGAGGCCGACGATGGGACAGAGTTTGAGTATGATGAGGGGATTAAGAGATGGGTTTCTGTGGTTTGTTTCCGCCCCCGCCTCGCTGGTTGGATTGTGCTAAAAGGTGAATGTGGGGGGGGGCGTATAGCTCGATGAAACACTTGCGGAGCAGCAAAGAGCTGCGTATGCGGTTGCGGGAGTAGACGAGAGTGAGCCTGTGGCGCCGGTGAATAAGAAGAGGAAGAAGGTGTATACTTCTAGTGAAGGGAATGAGGTATGGTATCCCTCTCACTCATCTCTCGTTCTTATATCCACTGATGAACGCCAGGACCCCACACACCCCAAAAAGTCCAAAAACACCAAAGACTCCTCATCCTCCACCGACCCCACCACCGCCTCCTCCTCCTTCCCAGCTCCTGCGCGCAAAAACACCGCAGTCTACATCACCAACCTACCCCCCGACACAACGGAGGATGAGGTCAACAAGGTATTCTCCAGGTTCGGTGTAATAGCCGAGGAAATCGACCGCGGGAAGCCCCGCATCAAGTTATACAGGAACGAGGATGGCAGCGTCAAAGGCGATGCACTGGTAGTCTACTTCCGCCCGGAGAGTGTGAACCTGGCAGTGCAAATGCTCGACGATTCAGACTTTCGATTCGGCGTTAGTGAGGGAGGGAGGATTAAGGTGCAACCTGCAGACTTTAGTTATAAAGCGCAGCAGGACGCGCCGGTGAGGAAGAATGCTAGGGATAAGAAGAAGGTTATTGCCAAGACGCAGAAGTTGAATAAGTTTGCTCCCCCTTCTATACCTCACTCGTAGCTCCAACTAGCTGACATACAGCGAAGCAAACTGGCAGACTGGGATGACGACGACCCCTCCAAAATCCCTGACATAACCTCCAAATATGATAAAGTCGTGATACTAAGACATATGTTCACGCTGAAGCAACTGGAAGAAGATCCCACCGCTATCTTGGACTTGAAAGAAGACATTCGCGAGGAATGCGAGAAACTCGGCGACGTCACGAACGTTGTTCTATATGATAAGGAAGAGGACGGAATCGTCAGTGTTAGGTTTGCCAACGCGGAGTCTGCGAAGGCTTGTGTTGGGGTATATATGCCATCCCCCTCCTCTCTCTCCCATCTTTGCGAAACTAGAGTAGGGCTGATGGTAGGGCAGGTGATGCACGGCCGCTTCTTCGACGGGCAAAGGGTCGAAGCCTACATTTTTGACGGACTGGAGAAGTTCAAGAAGACTAGTATAAAGAAGACTGTCGAGGAGGAGGAGGCGGAACAGGAAAGATTGGAAAAGTTTGGGAATTGGCTGGAGGAGAGTGGAGAATGAGTCGCCTACTCTCTCGTCCCTCCCTCCCCCTCCCTCCCCTTTCTATCTGCTTCTCGCTTTTCATGTCCTCCACTCTCTCTTTTAATTATCAGGTCGGAGTTTACGCATTAGTCTAATTGTGTATTATATATATACTCTTTCTTCTCTTGTCTTCTTTACTTAACTGCGTTTTTCATTATCGTAGTTGATGTTATTGGCATTCTTGAGGGAAAGCAAGAAAGCAAGAAATATAGCTTAATTACCACCCACACTTGTCCGTTCATTCATTCATTCATGATATGACAAGTTAATGCGAATTTGGCAAACAAGCAGACATACAAATAAACAAACCTTTTCTGTTTTTTTGCTGTTGAACGCCGAGCAAAGTGGTAGCGATACCATTGACACTGTCGAGCCGAGGACGACCAACCCGCACCGCCATAATTACTGCCCAGTAATCATGAGATGTGGGTGTAAGAGGGGGAAAAAGTGAACTAGAAGCTAGGAGCCTCCGAGTAGTAGTTATGGAGGTATGATAGCCAGAAACCCGAGGAAAACCAAGCCCAGATAAGATAAAAGCCTCTGATAGATACGAAAATGAAAAAAGGAAGATCCCCGAAATCAATCACTATCGCTATCCCCATTATCAAGTGCCTCGTCGTCGTCTTCCTCTTCACCCGCCCCCTCCGCACTTCCACCTTCTACCTCATCCCCATCCTCTTCGCCCTCGGTCTCCGTGGCATCGCCGTCCTCCGCCTCTTCCTCCTCGTCCTCCTCCTCCTCCTCATCGCCTTCTTCCTCCTCCTCCTCCTCCTGCTCCTCCTCCTCCATATCCTCGTCCACCGCAGCATCCACCTGCACCGGCGGTGGTGCAGCTCCACCCTTTACGTTCCCAACACGCATCTTTTTAGCGGCGGGTGGTGAGTCCCGGGCCTCCTCATGGTTTTTAGCTTCAGAGGTGGCGGCAGGTTTGTCTTTGTCTTTGGACTTTTTTGTGCTCGCGCGTTTTTCCTCGGCTAGCTGGTTGAATTCTGTCCCATCGGTTTATATTAGCTAAGAGTGGTGGGGAGGGGGAATTGACTGGACTAACTAGCTAACTCTGCCTCTAGTCTCGGTAGGAACTCGCCGAATTCTAGCTGCTCCATTGCTTCGAGGACGTCCTTGGGATTGATGGTTTTTCGGCCGTGTTGTTTTGCTTGGCCGTTTGCACTTTCATAATTCCGTTAAGTTCCTGTCAGAGAATGTGATGGGGGCGTGGGGGAGGGAGCATACGCTGCACAGAGGTAGTTAACGAACACTGTTCCACCCTTAGATAACGCCAGTATCGCATCTTTCTGAACGTTTGTGTTTTGCGGGAGCACTCCCTTTGCCAGCCGGGTTACAATTGATTTGGGGAGTGTGTGATCCTGGAGTACTCCTCCCGTCAATTGCCCATCTTCCAACTTCTACGTAGCGATAACCGGGGTTGGTGTGGGGAAGGAGGGGGGAACTTACGTCAATAGAAATACCATTATCCTTCTCCTTCTCTTTCCCGCTAGCAGCGGAACTATTATTGCTATTATTATTCGCTGGAGTGTCCTTCTCGGAATGTACGTCGGATTTTCGTGGCATGATGGTTGGTAGTTGTTGGAGGGAAATCGGTTGAGGAAGTTTGGTCGACCTGACGCGAGCGAGGATGAATGAATGAGCGAATACCGGTGCTGTAATTTAGAGGAGGCTCTGCTAATGACACGTCCGTGTTACTGGTTGCTGGCGGCAAACGCGTTTTAGACAGCCAAAATCTGTGGGAATTAAGAATTGATTTGGGAGAGAGTCTTGGGATGATGGTCAGATCAATCACTTTCTTTTTTTCTTCTATCATAACATTTTTTTATTTTTTTTTATTTTCCTTCTCGGATGATTGGTTTTGGGATATTTGAGGGGTGCGGCGTTGAAGAGACGTTTTTTTTTCAGCCTCACGAGTGAGAATATATGAACCGGGGGGGGGGTTTCTGGATGACACAGGGGGTAAAACATCATTTGCTCGCTCCTCCGACATAAAAGTTATCCCCTCCCATCGACAAAACACTCGAAAACAACCAACACCTCCCTCAAAATGCCACCCCCGATAATCCTCCTCCCACTTGGAACCTCGTCCGCCATCTCAACCCCAACACGGGGTCATTCCTCCCTAGCCATCGTCCTACCAACCAGCACAACCCTCCTATTCGACTGCGGTGAGGGAACCCAGGGTCAAATCCAGCGCCTAAAACCCTCCTACTCTATCAAACACTCCAAAATTTCAAAAATATTCATAACGCACCTCCACGGCGACCACGTTTTCGGCCTGGTCCCGCTGCTGGCAACGATCCTGAATGGGGCTGGGGGCGCAGAGGACGATCCGCGAATGCTAGGCGAGGGGGAGGGGGGGAGCAAGAGGGCGGTCGACGTGGAGATCTATGGCCCAAGGGGGGTGAGAATGCTTGTTCGACGGACGGTGCAAACGACGTATATGAGATTGGAGGGGGGGTTTGTGGTTCACGAGCTGCTTTTCGCGGATGAGGTGGGGGACAAGAAGGAGGGAGAGGATGGGGAACCGTGCTTGGGGGAGATAGAGAGGGGGAGGGATATACTCCCAAACAAAGATGGATTCTGGAAGAATTTTCTAGAAGTGGATAATTTCATTGTCTCCGCTGGGGAAATCAAGCATTCGGTTCCGTGCATCGGGTATGTTCTAATGGAGCGTCCACTGCCAGGAAAAATACCCCCGGACTACGCTAAGCGTATATCCAAGTTCAAGCCGGAGCTCATTCGTGCTGGGTACCCCAACCCGATGTCTTTCCTGGCGGAGTTGCAGCGCCCAGAGAAGCTTGGGCTTGAGCTCATGCTCTCGCTGCCCGACGGCACGGTCCTTACTCGCCCGCCGGTGGTGCGCGGAAGGAAGATTGTTGTGCTTGGAGATACATCCGATCCATCACTTATTGCACCACTGGCGGAGGGCGCGGACGTACTGGTGCACGAAGCGACAAATGCTCATTTACCAGGGATAGATCCGAGGACGAAGGAGGTGGATACTTATGAGGTTGTCGAGGAGAGGGCAAGGAGTAGAGGGCATTCAACACCAGATATGGCAGGGAGATTTGCGAGGAGGTTGGGCCTTGGTGGAGATGAAGTTAGGGAGGCGCTTTTGGTATTGAACCATTTTAGCAGCCGGTATAAGGACGACGAAGCGGATGGGGTGGGTGGCGTGGCAATGAGGATTATGGGGGGGGTTAGGAAGTGTGCGGAGGATGCATGGGGGATTAAGGAAGGGAGAAGAGTTATTTGTGCAAGGGATGGAGTAAAGATAGAAGTCAAAGCTTAGTTATCCAAGACACCGGTACCCGAGTAGGTGCACGGCGCTGGGGTCTGGTGGTTTGGCTCTGCATGATGGATGATAATAATATTATCATACAAATGGAGTGAAATCACTAATAAATTTACTCGCTCGAGAAATGTCGAAGTGACCACAAGCCAGACAACCATTGCTGCACCGTTCCCATCCACAAGACAGGGATTGCATCATGCGGGGAACCTCGGTTCCGATTCGGAAAATTTATTCTTCCCGCGCAACTCACTTATTATGCCTGGTTCACCTGACAGATGCACCATCCCACCTTTTATCCTCCTCCTCCTCCACCACCACCACCCCTCCCCCTCCATCTCCTTAGACTACTACCTCGCCTTCTTCAACATCAACTTCACCCCGCCTAAGAGCACATTACCCGTATCATCATCCTGACTGGACCCATCGGCAATAACTCTGTTCTCGAATATAGAGCTGTTTCACAAGACCCTTGGCGTAACCACCGACAGCATCTCCCAGTCCACAACCCCGGACCTCGGCCCTCGGGCCGCAGCGACAACAAGTTCTTTGCAAATCTAACTCGGGATCAGCATATTTACTCCTCCCCCCCTCTTCCATCCACTCCCACTACCGTCAGCAAAAACCTTTGAACCCTTCAAAACCCCACCACCACCCAACGAACTTTGCCCGACCTCCAGACCACCCAATACCAGAATACCAGAACACAAAAACACAAAATGGCGCTTTGCGGGCCCTCGACTGCCCTCGGTTCTCTACAGAAGCACGTCAGTGCCGATAAAACCTTGCAACAAGATCGTGTACAGCGACAGGGTTCTTTTCCTAATGTCCCTCCCCTCCCCTTTTCTCCCCATAGGAATGAGCTTAGTAACAAAATGACAGGCTTTCAGAACCCAGAACACGGACCCCCGCCTAGAGCACGAATTCTCACAATTCTCGAGCTCGGTAGCAGCAGCAAACTTGGAAATCGCCACGGCGCATCATCACCAGCAGCAGCATCAGCACCTCGGAAACGTGGATGCGAGCTGGGCGAGTGACTTTCGGCGGTTACATGTAGGCGCTGGTCCGCCTCTACGGCTGCCGCATCACCAGCAGCAGCAGCAATGGGGAGGAGGCTGGCACGAAGAATTCTTATCACACCCAACAACAGCGGCAGCAGGGATATATACTACCACACCAGAGCATGTGCACCCAGACCCTCAACAACTGGCAATATTCTCGGGCACTAACACTAGTGCCGGGTTCCCGCGGTATACACCTATTTCTCAAAATCCTTACCACAGTCCCGCCGCTACAACAGCCCCCACTACAATTACATCCGTAGAGGAAGACCTGATAAATGAAGCCTTCGAAAAAGCCTTTGAGTCTGCAGGAGCTCAGCTCGCCGAACCGATAGCTACCACCCCCCAACCAACCGTAGCCCCCCCTCCCCAAGCTGTTGTCGAAGAACCCCCGAAACAAGAGGAAAGCAACCAAGACAAAGACTGCGACGACCTATCCCGCACAGCCGGAAACCTACTAACTTCTCTACAAAACAATCAGTCGCAGAAGTTCCGCGAGAGCAATTTCCTCGCGCTGATGAGGAGGTTGCGAGATCGGGAGGTGAAGGTTGAGGGGGATGGGTTGGTCGAGGTATGACTTCCGAACTGCCCACCCACCCACCTACCCATCTACCCACAGCACACAGCACATTCACAACATACCTTTTCTCCGGGAGGGAATGAATGAGTTGGCTTTGGTTTGGAACGAACGGAGTGTTGATGTGGTGTTATATATATATTTTCTTCGGAGCACAGATTTCTGATGATCGTGGAAGGAGAAGTGATGGGAGTGTGGGAGTAGGGGTAGCAATAGGAGGGGGTGAAAGCTGGGGAGATGGTGGCGGCGGAGAGGGCGATGGGGTAGGAGATAGAGAGGGGTTCCTAGAGCATTCTTGGTGGGATTTGTAGTGCCCTTTGTGCAGCACAAAGTCCGGGGAGGTATGAGAGGAATGTGAAATTGGGGGTGGGGTTGAGAGGGGAGGATGTATGGTTGCCATTACTATCGTGGGCAAGTTGACACCAGGTGTTTCTGTCTTCAACTCTTTATATAATGATAGTATAATATGGGTGCAGTTTAGGGGAAACTAGTAAACTTCCTTTTTGGTTATCTTGAGTTAGTGGCACTTTTAGTTTACTGGTACAATGTCATGGCAACCACTCCCATGTCGAGAAAAAAAAAGCCAAAACAAGTTTCAGATCATACCAAGTTTAATGTATTGCTTCATAAACTCTATAATAACAAGTTGTACTCTTGAAAATGTTTGAAAAAGTTCTGAGTAGGTATGATACTTCTCAATGTATGCTACATCTTTATGGAAAAAAGGTTTATGAAAATATTAACTTTAACCATTATTAGGCCAATATTGCCTCAAATTTAAATTTAAATATATTTTGAAATGGTCACAGTCCACTCTACCAGATAATGAATGCTGGAAAATATTTGACTTAGTTTGTGGGATCTGGGAAGTTTCCTAGTTTTTGCTGAAACGCACCCATATTATATATATATATATATATTTCTATCTACCTGTGTCTCTCCTGAACGGCACTTGCTATAGGCCAACTAGATTTTATGTCTACCATATTCGCCACGCTATACTCGAGTACCGGTAGGCGTAGCCTTTCTAGCAGAAACCTCTGCACGAAAACCCTTTGTCAAAAGAAAGTGAGACTTCCCTAGTATGATATATCATATCCCCATCAGAATCCTGTTTGGGTCTGGCGGAACAGAAGACCCCCCCCCCCATTGGTTGGGATGGGAGCCCTCACCCCCTCACCCCTTTGCTGTATCGAGACCGCTCTGCAGACTACCGTGAGCCCTTCGGTGCCGTGCGAGTTCACAAACGATCACTCGAAGGAATAATCTGAACTGAATTGGAGATTCAGGATAAATTTATCTGCCTGTCCACCAACTTGCAACTACATTAGAGCTCAATGCGATGGCGCGGAATTTTTTGTCATCCCGGTTTTTTGTTTTTATTTTTTGGTACAAAAATAAATTCCGCTGACTCCTCATCTTCATGAGCCTCCTTCCAACCTTCCATACTTCCTCTGTCGGGTTTGTGGACCAACCCACTGCCTTAACTTTCGTATGATCAGAATACCAGCACCAAAAGAAAAAATCACGAAAGAAAAGCCTACACATGCCTTAATGTCGCGAAGGTAGAAAAAGGGAAAAAGAAAAAGAAAAAAAAAAAAAAAAAAAAAAGACAGAGCCCATTACCAAATAGACACAAAATAGGATATATAGGGAAACTTTTCTCCCTCTCAAAAGATAATGTAGAAAGAAAGAGAAAGAAAAACGCAAAGAAAAACTCCACAAAACCCTTTGATCCCACCTTCATACACTAGACTAAGCTGAGCCAAGTTGCAATGCCCTGGTTCCGCTGTGTCAAGCCGTACTCTCCGCAAAATACTCTCCAAAGCTCCCCGGCGGCATACTCCCTATCCCAGCATCATCGAACCCGGGGTCCAAATCCAGCATTTCCCAATTCATGTCCTTCACCAATGGATACCCGCTTCCACCTCCTGCCCCCGCTCCACCACCCATATCAACCGTGATATCCTCGAAAGAGGGCAACGGTGAATATCCGCCCGACGATTGGCCCCCTCCACTATGCGGTCCGCCCCCGGAAGCTTGCGAATGGTCACTATGATTAACAGAAGCCGGCGACTGTCCGTTGTCTGAGGAATTGCTGTAATTGTGCGTGGCATACTCGGGTTGCACCCCGGCTTCTTTGGCCGAGGCCTCTACGTACGCGCGAATTTCGGGTGTCATGCAGGGGCAGATCGGAGGCAGGATTCCTCCGAGGTATTTTGGTAGGTCGCGCGTAGGAGGTGTGGTTTTTGCCCGGCGTTCGAGGACGGCACGGATTTCGTGCGGCATGCAGGGGCAGGAAGGGTGGATGTTTGCTAGGTCACCGTCTAGGACATCGGTGTCTGGACGAAGGTATGAAGGGGAGTCGTCGAGAAGGGAAGAGGATTGGGAGTGTTGGGATTGGGATCGGTGGTCTGGGGGTGTAGTGCTGGCGCTGTTGCGGGGTTTGTCTGCTGGGAGGGCCTCGGCTGTGTTGGGACAGTAGAAGCCAGAACTGCGGCCTACGTATAATTCCGCCTGCATTTGAAGTTCGAATCAGTTAAATCCTTTTCACGGAGGGGCTCTTGGGGAGAGGTATGATAAACCATACCTGCCCTTTCTTGAGTCCGTAAGGGAATTTGGAGTTATTCACCGGCGCGTCAAGGCTTCCAGTCAAGTCGACGTCCAATTGGACCAAAAATGACTCTGTCAGTGGGTTCTTCTTTTTCAAGTGACCCATGGCAGTGAGCAAGAACTGGAGGGACGACCTGACCTGCTCATCGGAGGGTCTGGACTTGAGGTACTGGACGAATACTCGAGCTGCAACGTACAGGCAGAAAGAAATGAACGGATTCATCTAACATTCCACTACAGTAAGCGCGCGAGTTCGACGGCTCACCGGGGAAAGGGAGGGGAAAAAAAGAAAGGAAGAGCACTCACCCCTGACAAGTCGAGATGGCAAACCATCCTCATGATGGATGCAATTTCCGCAGCGGCGGTAATACACCTTATCTTTGACTCGGCCGATACGGTCGCCGGCATCCGGTTCTTATCGGCTTTGAAAATGGCCGCTTGATGTAAGCAGATGGTCGAAGTGTGAATATTCATATTTGTAAACACAATATTGGGGTCCGCGATACCACTCGGCAACCGGAAATGTGGCGGAAGGGACAGGGCAATATTGAGCAATATATTATCCATGTGCCGGTGGCGTCTCCAAAATTCCCCATTGAGATCATCGTCCCTATCGTCCCCGTCGGGCCGATGCAGGTGAATAAGGTTCCGCCCAAATAGACAAGCCATTAGACAGACACCACCAAATGGTGATAAAAGTGAAGCCCCCTCAGCAGTCATGGCCTCTTTCAACGATAAGCCCCTTGATGGCCGTCCCTGGTCAAAGGCATCATCGGCAGCCGGGAGATTTGTCAATATCTAAGCAGGAATTAGCACACGAGTGCGAGCGCATTAGGGGTAAAAAAAAAAAAAAAAGCAAGGTAAGGGGTGAGAGATTAATGGCTCAAACATTAGTAATTGAAAAACTCACATCTTTCTCCTCGACAGTCATCGGCCAGCCAGTGCCAATGGAAGCATATCTGTCAATGCAAAAAGCTATCCAAAAAGTCCGCCGACGCTCTTCCCTCTCGGTCCAGTCCTTGGGCGCTGGCAGGCACTGTTTTACGTCCAGTCCTACCCCATCCAGCCTGTGCATCCCCATCATCTGTGCCAACCGGACAGCCCTCCCTGTCGACAGCCAAGCACGTGGGAAGTACATGAGCTTAAACTCATAACAAGCGATCAAACTCCACGTCTGGGAAGCAGCAACCGAGATAATACTCTCTCCGTGCCCCTTCAACTCGCAGTCCTCAATGTACTTCCTCGCATGTCGGTAGAAATGTGTCTGAAGATTGGAGTACTCTTCCGAAACCGACGCAGCCATTGTCCATATAGCGTACCGCAGCGCAACCGGGGGCCTCGCGCTTGGAGCCAGATCCAGGGCGGCCAGGTACCGCCCCTTGTGAAGCACGGGTAAACAGGGGTGAATCTTCTCGAAATACGTTCGATGTCTTCACACATTCACGAGAAATCAGTCTCTCTTCCACGCACAGATGGATCTACGCTCACGAGTAGCATTAGGTAAGCTATAGGTCAATACATACAAAGAGTCTATGATATCCGGAGCGGGAAGCGCTTCTTCCAGTCCCATAGCCATCATATCCCAATTCAGCGGGGAAGAGTGAGGCGTATCTCCCATCATCGGCGGCATTCCCATCTCCATCTGCAATAGACCAGGTGACCCCGAGGCGAACGGGCCCTGGCCCGGACCCGGCGATCCCGCAAGCGCAAACCCTTCCCCCAAGCCCATGCCCCCATCGTCTTTGTTCGCGATATAGGTCGAGGGGTCACCGGTGGTGGAGTAAATTGGCGGGTCTACGAGCTGTGTGCTCGCAAAGCTTAGGTTTCCGCCTAGCGATTGTTGGGCATCCGCCGCGGGTCCCTGATCCTTAAGCATAGTCTCGACCTGAGCTATAAACCATCCCGAAACACAAACGTCAGCCTTCGAAGCCACGTTTTGGGGATGGGTATTTTATTTTCATCTTGTCTCCCTTCAAAGCAAAGGCCGAGGATCAAACAAACCAAGTCGTGCTTCCAACGCCTTGACGTATCCTCGTTTTGGACCGCTCTTCCGTCGTATCTCATCATAAGCACTAGTCGAACCCAGTCAAAAGTTAGCTTCGTGTTTTTTTTTCTCTCTTCCTACAACCCAACCCTAAACCTCCATCCCTCATCCTCCATATTCCCCACGCCCCATTCTTCTCTTCCAAACTTCCCCAATCGTGTCCCAGATTCGGGATGGTTTGAAAGGGATAATAGAGAGGAGGCATTCGGTCTCAAATAAAATGGAAGGTGTAATCCCAACCAGTCATGTCCCAATCTCGCACATGTCCCACAGCTAGGCTTGCTCCCATCACATCTTAGCTTTCTCTTCCGACACACAATGCAAGCTATCCTCTTCGGCCGGGGTACCTCGGGGTCGGCAGATGTTGAAGCGGTAGCTGCCGCGCGAGGAACCGTCTTAGACATTTGTAAAGCAATGGAAACCCTATATATATGTATTCCGCCGAACCGACCGGATGTGGGGGGATGCTTTCTTGGGGGGAGAGGGGTTAGGAAAAACGAAGCTCTTTGTCTATCCTCTCTCTCTCTCTCTCTCTCTCTCTCTCTCTCTCTCTCTCTCTCTCCTTGTTTCTTCCTCCGTTCTTCTTGCCTGTTTGATATTTCACGCGCGAGGGGAGCAGGAGGAGGAGCAGGAGGAGAAGGATAAGAATAAAAATAGGGTGTCGGTTCCTTGGTTGGAAGTGGTTGCGGGTTCTGGTTGCAGGAGGAACGGTACAGTAAGTAGCTAGACAGGCATGCAGAATGCCAGCTAAATAGTGGCTGAAATATTGGGGGACAATGGTGGTCCAGGCAGGCTGGCTAGCCCTCGATAGAACCGAATGGATGATCTATCGTGGGGAAGGGGTCGTATGCTATTAAATGAGCTTGGGGGGGGGGGAATGGTTGCTTTACTAAAGCAGGTAGGCTAGGGCGGTAGCAGCTTTCTTTCCTTTTTCTCTTTTCTTTTTTACCCGAGAAAAGTACGAGTTTTTGTACGATGATGTGGTTGGGTCTGGTCGATATGACGCGATACCGTATTGGTTACCCTCGGTGGGAAGATGGTAGGCCTCGCCTGTTGACTTCGCTT